GATACTTGAACAGAGGAAGGGTCATAGACAATCGTTGCAGTGGCTTCGAGACACCAAATCTGAGAGGGATACGAGCCCTACGTTCGAGTGAACAAAGCGTTTAAAACTTTGATTTTAGACCAGTGTGAATCAGCTTTCTGCAGACCAGGGTGTTCACTCGAATCCTTCTGTACCCTCGCGCGTTCCTCGAAGCACCAGAGGAGGGTGGGATGAGGTCAGTGCTGAGCCAAAGGGAACTGGGATTCTTCAGTCTACGGGGGCCAGGCGGCCATAGGTACTTCAGGGGCAGGGCTCCACGCATTTGACCAGGGGTCTTTTGGAACAGGGTTCCTTCAACAACTTTGGGGTTTTCACGACAGTGCCGGGCCTAGATAGGGGTGGTTTCATAATCATCGTCATCGTCATCGTCATCGTCATCGTCATCGTCATCGTCATCATCGTCATAATTGGAGACAGGGGTGAAGGTCAGCATCATAAACTTTGGTGGTCCACTTGCCCATGTTTAGGCTCAGTGTGGACGCGTCTTTGCTGGAGACATCTAGCCTTCTATGTGAACCGATGGGAGCTATGATGCAGCGACGTTACCCTTGCTGTGAGCCGTGTGAACCATGTATGTGGCAAGGATGCTTTCCTCATGTGAGGCAAGCGCAGGAACCCAAGTGATAGCCTGACATGGCAAACCTTGAGCCATGCTTGAATGCGTTCCACCAACGTGTCAGGTCCACCGACGCAGCTGCCGGCTACCACCACGCATAGTCGACATCCAACCTCAGCAAGCCCACGTTTTCAGGGGCAAGGTAGAGGAAGCGTACGTCATGTTGTGAGTCAAACATGTCACAAACTGAGCTTCCTCCTCCGATGTGTCATGCACTGGCAAGCAGTCTGCAAGTTACCCCCACGCACCCTTTGAGAATGGCTTCATTTTCACACTGACCCCATGTCAGCTGCCACACGCCTCCATGGTCCTGCAAGGGGGGACTGCAGCCCCGCATTACCCCCTTCTGTTTGTTTTCAATTCCAATGTGGCACAGCGTAACGTTTGTGGATCTCCAGCTATGAATCGCCACAAGCAAGCGGAAATAGGGGGACTATCCTCAAATCCCCCAGTCATTTCAAAACTGGCCTCACCTTCAACATGACACTCTATCATTTCTAAATGATGTTCGAGCCTTGCCACGTTCCTCCATGGCTTGCAAAGCGCCAAAGAATGGCGCCACCTCCAACACAGCCTTGCTGCGACCACCCGATCCGTCACTCCTTCTTACAACTGGCGTCCCCCCTTCAATGAATCTTCAATCGTTGCGCAAATCGTTAATGGCTTTTACATGGGCGAGGTGGAGCTGCATCACCCCCAACCCGCCCACATTTTGTAAAAGAATCTTCCTCCTGAGATGTGTCACATAATCGCATAGAGGAAAGAGTAGCATCATGACCAAGCTTCCTGCTCAAATGTGAAGTGACGTCGAAAGACTGGAGGGACTTTTTTGAAATGCAGGCTACGACACCAAGTTACGCCCTCGATGTCTCAGCTGAGCGAAAGACCAAGGGAGGGGTGAATTGGACATGTAACATCGCCTCAGGTTGCTCCTTTGATTTCTCAGTTACATGCGCGGTATGACGTCTAGTGAGCCTTCAAATATTACAACACTCTTCAAGTGTTTGGTGCTCTGCACAGCGTCAACTCCAACAAAACCTGATTTCCAATTTCTGATGTATTGCCCAGTATTCAGACATTCTTCAATTGCCTGGTGCTTTGCAAATGGTGGCGTCCCCCAACCTCTTCCCCTTCTTGTGAATGTTTTGAAGTGATCGAGGCCGGGTTGCACCTCTCGACCCGCGAGCATTTGAGAGATTCATATCAGGTGTCTGCTTTGGTTTCTCAGCTAAAGGCAACAAGAGAGGCATCAACTCCAACACATGCCGGTATGACTTCTAATAGATCTTCATGTACGAGTATTGCGACATTCTTCAAATGTTTGGTGTTTCGCAGATGGGAGGGGTCTTCGCGAGACCGAACGGGAGGGGCAAATTGGACACATGTCATCGCCTCGGGTGACCCTACTGATTCCTAAACTGGATGGGCTACCACGACTGTTACCCGCGGCCTCGTTTTAAAGAGTGGCATCAACTTCAATACTACCTTGCATGACCTGTAGTGAATCTTCAAGCGTTGCGACAACCTTCACTTGTTTGCTGGTTTGCGAAAAAGGTGAGGGCTACACCCCCCAAATCCCCACTCCTTCTGACCAATAGGTGAGAGAGTTCGGGTGCAGGTTTGGGTTTGGGTTCGGGTTCGGGCGCGGAAGGAAGCTTTTTCTGGAGGTTCAGGTTCGGCCCTGGGCTGGGCCAGGATACACACTTGACAAAACTGAACAGAATGTCTGCAATCGTTTGTGACCTTCTATAAAGCTGTGCTCGTTGCCTCCTGCTGAGCCTGGTTCTGTTACGTGCAAGGCATGTTTAGGCTGTGAAGTTCCTGACCTCATGTGGCGACACCCTCCTTCCACTGGGGCTCTCAGCCTCTTCTTTCTAAAGTTATTGCCGTTTCTGAGTTCTTGCGTCACGTCCCCTTCCTTCTGGCTCGGCTTCAAAAAAGCTTGAATCAAGACGTCCTGTCGGCTTTGTCAATGCCCAAGGCAGCTCTTCTCTGAAGCTCTTCAGCTCTGCAGCTGACGCCACGCTTGTGCCTTGCAAATGCCAATTCGTCCGCAATGCTTCCTGGTCAAAGTCTTCGGGGCACCCCAATGCATCAAATTGTCGTAAGAGCCTGTCGAGGCATTCACGGCAGTCTACATGTGCTGTCAGGAGTCTAAGATTGTGTTGCTTGAGAAGCTCTTATGCAGCTTGACGAGTCTCAAAAGCAACGAATCATGAGCAGCCAGCACACACTCTTGGACTTGCCCTGCACAGTGTGCGTCTGCTTCAGATTGCGCAGCTGCAGCTGGGAAGCACACAAGTACTGCAGCGACACCTCAATATGTTAGTCATATGAGGCAAAACGCAACTGTCGTCACTATGACTTTCGCCAAGCACAAGCTGGATATTCATCGAGTTGCCACTGCAACCTGCCACGCCGGGGCGCTGCTGTCGAAGCTCTGCATCCTGTGACTCTGTGTACATGAGGACTTCAGACGTGCTGTGCAGAAAGTGCACGACGTGATTCTGGTCGCAACATTCTGCATAGTTAATTCACAACCGTTAGGAGAACATGCTGCGTGTCAAGTTCTGAGAACCGAGCCAAGTCAAGAACAGCACCAGGCAGAGCTTTCTCCACCAAACTTGTCTTGGCAAGCCGCCTGCGACTGTACAGGCAAGCTTTGCCAAAAAACGCTTCTGGGGGCTTCCGAATCTGAAAGAAGTTCCGTCCATCTCCTTCCCCTCCTCTACCCTATGTAACAAAAGAAACCCCCACATCCCAGAGCACGACCTTTTCTTAAAGTTTGAGGCCTCAAATATTGTCCATTTCTTGTCAGGCAGTGTTGCTGAGGCTTTCGTTTTGCACATGGTTTTCGCATGCCTGCGCACAGCTGCCTCCCCATATGACTCCCTGTGCTCGCAACAAGCCCATCATGGCTGCCTGAATCCACTACCAGCTGCTATGATTGGTCGTGGCACAGTTGCATCTCAAGTTGCTGATGAGGACGACTCGTGCTTGGTTGCGTTGTCACTCCGGATCACGACGAAGAGCACGGTAGCACGGTAACTTCTACCCAACTCATTGTAAGGCTGCGAAATGTTGCAAAAGCAGGCAGGATTGGTGAGAACTAAGTGCCCGTACTCATATTGACTGTTGCGGCAGGCCAACGGGCTCGCATCTCTTACATCAAGCACAGGCATGCAAACACCGAGCTCCGCAGCATCGCCGCCCGGCAGAATCTATCCTGTTTTCTTACATCTGCCCATCGCCAGTGACAATAGCCGTGTGACAAGACACTGAACCCTCCACTTTGCCTCAAGAGCTTCGCATGCAGCTGCTTTGCACAGTGCTCCACAGCACCAGGCTCTCCATCAAAGACCTGTCCAGTCAATAAAGACTCTTGACCAGCCCCGTATCTGCTCATGATGCCATCAGTAGGTGCTATCCATCCCCCCAGAGATTTGAACTGCACATGCTCAGACACCTACCTCCAGGAGGATTGATGTCTCCTGCTCTTCTACAGTACTGGAGACAAAAATCACCGAAAGCACGACGAGCAGCGCTTTCTTAAACCTTTACTGCCCTCGGGGGATCTCATGCCCTAGGCCCTAAGCTGAGTCCTTTGTCGCTAGCGGCTGCTTCAGAGCAGCTGCCACCTGCCGTGAAGCAAAACTCGTTGCCGCCAGCAGCTTCCATCCGTTTATCCTGCCTTGGCAAGATCGCGAATGAGGACATGTCGAAGAGGCACCTCGTTTGCTGAAATCAAAGTGTGGTTGGTACATACAGTCCTAAGTTGCTGGATCTTGTATCATGCAATGACCGCAGGGTGCAAAACACAGGCGGCCTTCGTTTTGGAATCTGCCGCAAGCGTGCAATAAGCATCGATCGCCACGCCAGGGGTGGCTGCCATAGGAGCGCTACTTGGAGCACTGCTAGATTCGCAATCGGTTCTGTTGGGTGCATACTTTCGCATCCGGCCACTGGCTCGGAACCTTTGCATTCAAGGCATGCGAACTGGATGAGTCAAGGGTGAGCTTAAGCTGCCTTTTGAATCGAGCTGACGTCTGCGACTCTGCCATCTCTGATGTACTGCCCCAGTCGGTGGACCACACTGAAATTTGTTGCTGCAAATCCTTGAACCAACACTCAGACGCATGTCGAAGATGTGCGACATGACCAGTCTCAATCACCCAATCTGGCCATCCCTGCATTCGAGGACAGAGATCTCACGAATGCCTCGCTGGCCTCGCTGCAGTCTGCAAGCCTGCCATTTCTTGAAGATGCAGACACCCCATTGTTATGAGGGAACCTCGTGTGATCTTGTCTGCTTGCAGCTGGTTTATTGCATTGATTCTGTCACGGCCTCTGCCTTTGCCTTTCGCGGGTCGCGTAGGCGCTGAGAAGGCGTCAAAGGACCTCTTGAAGGTCCGGCCTTTGAGAAGAACACTGCACCAACATCATGTTGACTCTCAAGCTACTGGCACTGCTTCAACTCCCTTTGCACTTTCCATATCCCATCAGATTCACGAATGCCTAGCGGCAGGTGGAAACGCTCAGGGCACCACGTTGCCCATGGCCAGGCGCATCCCCATTACCGTTTTCTGGGTTATTCCAGGTCTGGAAGAACTGCCTCACACGGCGCATGCATGACCCGACTGCCGCCATGACTAATTGGCAACCAATGCGCTTCGCGACATGCGAGGTGCCTGACAGCCTCCTGCAAGAAGTCCCAATCTCTTGGTGGGCGCCCAATACTTTGCGTCAGGACCTCACTGATCGATTTGTCGCGTACATGTGGCAACAGAGGCTCAGATGGGAGCACTCACCACGACACGTGCTGAGCATCGAATCCCCATGTTGCAGGAGACGTGGATGGCGACGACAATACTCCCATATATAATCCCCTGTGTAGGCCCTTTAAGGAGTTTAGAGTATAGCTCATGTGATGAAGCTTGATTTGTTTAGATGCTAGTGTCCAGGACAAGCATTTCACTTAGCAAGCAAGGAAAGGAAGCTGCCCACCAGGATGAGCAGTAGAATTTCTCGATGAAAGAAGCACAAATGAAGAAAAGAACTCCCATTTTGGAATATCACGAATCCCATATCATCCCACGAAGAATCCCATGAGGCAGTGACGGCTGGAATGCAGGAAAATGGATGCTCCTGAGCCGCGGAGCTCGAATTGAAGTCACACACAGCCCTCTCAGTTTCAAGTCAAAATACAGAATTACACTACAATCTGAGTACATGGTTGGATTCTTAAGTTTTAAGCTAAGTCCTTCCAATCCCTACCAAAATCTGAACCTTTGCCAGGCACAATATGCAACCAGACGAACACCCCCTCCAAAGTTAGTTTCGCTGAATTGGCTCCTCGCCGAAAGGTGCCAAAAGTTCCTGGTAGAGCAGGACCTGCCAAATGGCTTCCGGTCAGCATGCACAACTACCTGCCCCATGCCGGCTATGCAGGCTTGCACTGCAGTACTGAAGTAGCATCCAGAACCGCTTGATGTTGTTGAGACTTTTTCAGCTTGTGTGCATCAAGGCTGCTGGGCTTGCCCTTCGCAGTTGCTGCTGCTTGAACCTCACTCAATTCCATGTTCCGACTTCAGTATTGGGTTGACATGGCCAAGATCTGGGGAGTTTAGGAGCCTTAGCGTGCCCAGGTTTGGGCTACAGGAGTGGCTTTAAGCTTCAGGCTGACGCCTTGAATATCTGAGTATGTATCTTGCAGGTTTTGGAGTCCGGAGTCTTGAATAGTGGTGCGATTTTCGGCGCGATGGGATCCTCAAGTTAGGCCCGGAGTGATTTGGTTTATTGGGGGGCCTTCACGATTTCGCAGACTGGAGTCTTGGGCTTTGGGCTTGCACTCAAGAACTAAGTGGTTTACGCTTCCAATGATTTGGGTCTAATGAAACCTACTGAGTGGTCTTGAAGCTCAGGATTTCTGGGCAGTTCTGGGCTAGGGAGGTCTTGCTGCCTCTTGCTGGGTCTGGAGTGAAAAAGCACTTGCCAGCAAAATCGGGAGTGGGCAATCAAGGCAAAGAAAGCAAAAACCGAGCAAGGCAAAGAAGCACTTTTACATGACGCAAAAAAAAGCCGCGCCACATCAATGGACAACGAGAGAACACCACTGACCCGACAAGACAAAAACACACCATACAAAGCCAAATCACACACTTGCAGAAAAGCTGGCAAAATGAAACGGGTGGAGTTTATTTGTTGTACCGTGCTTTTTCTTGTTTGTGACATTTTTTGCGGGGGAGGGTCTGGGGGGCTGGAATCGAAGGACGCCTCACACGAGAGCGCGATTCTGAAGAAAAAACTGTGAAGACTGGTGAAAGATCACCAGAAATCATGAGAAATCATGTACATCGATGAAAAATGATGACAATGATAGAAGATGGTATGAAAATTGTTTTGTGCATGAGAAGGCTGTGCTTGTCAGGAAGACGGAAGACGTAGTACAGTCAAGCGTCCACTTTGCAGCCAAATCTCAAGTCGTAGAGCAGGTAGCTTGTAAGCCTTCAACTCTAGACAGTGACAGGATAGTGAGATTGCACAGTGAGCTAAGTACTAGTGTACAGCTTTAAAATTCACAGGACTTACACCCGTTTGTGTGTGCGCGCTGTAGTAAAAAGAGTGCCTCCGCTCGCTTCATGTCCCTTCCTGTTTCAAGCAGGTGATGCGTCCAAGCCTGCTACTACACTTCTCCGCTATAAGTTTGTGCGAAGTGGTTGGCTGCAATGTCTGGTCAAGATCACAGTATTAGTGGTCCACCCGGGCTTGGCGCTATACAACACGCCCAGTCTAAATACGGGCAATCCAAACCCATTTTGGTTAGAAAGGTATCAAGATGAATTTCGCCTTCAAGCAGCTCGACCTGATTTCCTTAGTGATGAAACAGCGGAAGGGCTTGTTACTCAGCAAGCAAAGGCATGCGGAGTCCCAATTAAGGACAATAGTTCAGTTGATGAAGAACATCCACCTTACGAGTTGGTTGAACAGCCGTCACCTGAAGAGGTGCCAGTAAGACACACGTCTGGTGGTGGCATGTTTTGAAGGACCATGAATGCTGCGTCTTGTGATGCAGGAGATCTGGACACTGTGCTAACCACTCAGTATGCCAACCGCAATGGTGGGCCCAGTGGTAAGGCTGCCTCGAGTGGCCTGAACGCTCGAGACAAGTGCAGTATTTCTAGGGCTGGCTTGAACCAGAGTCAGCTACAAGGTCTGCAGTAGGACCAGGCAGAAAGCCAAGTTTATGGCTTGCGAGTGGATGCAGCCCCGGCTGCACTTGATTTATCTCGTCTGGCTTCTGGCGATGCTGAATTAATAGTTGGACTGGAGCAAGACTTGAGTGGCGCGTTTCCGGAAAGCGCTACAACGGTCGGACAGCTAGGAAGTACCAAAAATGCTGGTGTGGGCTTACCTCATGCTCAGGCAAGTGTTAGAACGGCAGTTCAACAAATGGCTCAGTCTGGAGCTGTGACTGGTGACGCAAGTACTATTTCGAAGTTGTTGCTCGACCAAAACGAGACTTTACAGGAGCGTGTTGCTAGTCTGGAAAAGTCGCGTCCAGCGTCAGTGATATCAGCTCATACTGCGTTGGAAGGTGCCGAGGACACGGCGAATGCTGCAGATAGCAGTAGACCTGGAGGGTTAGTGCTTGCACAACAGTTTTAGGGCCTAAGGCCCAGACCGGAGGTCTCTGGCCAGCACCGGAGGTCGAGCAGCAGGTAGAGCTGAGGGTCAAATATCAAGTTTTGTCTCACCCACTGCAGGAGTTTTGTTCAGTGGTAGCGCGCAAACTGTAGTTGCCGCTAGTAATCCACATGTTGAGACTTCTAGAGTTGGAGGAAAAGGATCATACCTACCCCTCTCGTAGACCCAAGAGTGGTCAAGTGAAGCATGGTCTCCTCGGTCCGTAAGATACGCGGTAACATTTGGGTAATCACGGGCGTGATTACTTAAACCCGCTAAGTTGCGCCGTACATAACTACCCGAGAAGAAGGAATTCCCGGCAAACGCGGTTTCTGGACGGGCGGCTTTAAAAATACGAGCGGGCGTAGCTGCCACAAGCAACGACAGGTGGCTACACTGGAACAGCTGCTTGCTGAGCGTGCCCGCAGCCAACTTTTCCACGGAGTTATCCGCAGGTGGACGGAGATTTACTGTGGGGCACTAAGGGTAGAGCAGAGCACTCAGGCGGCACTTGCCCGGAACATGGCGTGTAGGGAGATTGAGAAGGATGGGCTGAAATTCAACCAGCTCTCCATCGACTTCGAGCTTTCACACCTTCCCGGTAGTTAGCAATGAGCCGTGTTGAGTACGTACCACTAATCCACACGATGTATCAGCAGATGGACATCGGATATATGCGTTGACCGTTCTACTTTCCCAGTGAGAACGTCTCCACGAACGCTCTACCACTTGAACTAAGGTATTGTATGGAGGACAGATTGAAGTTTTTTTGTCTAAGGTCTTGAATGCTTTCGCACGCAAACAATGGGCGGCATACTTTGCAGCAAGAGCCCACTCCCCCGGTCCTGCGTCATGCTCCTGTAGCGCTGCGCGAGTGGTGGCCTTAATACGGCGGATAGCCGATTCCGCGTGGCCATTTGACTGGGGTTCGTCTGGGAATGCCACGGTTTTATGGACGCCGCGAGCGACTAAATAGTCTCGTAACTTGGCATTATTAAGCTCCCTTCCTCTATCGGAATGAAACCTCTTAACAGGGAGATTGTGATAACTACATCGTGCTACCACACGCTGGATTCCAGCCACTACAGCTGATTGAGTCTTATCCGGGTGACTTTCAATAAAGGGAATTTCTATAACTTGTACCTTACGCAAGAGGCAATCGGTAGCCTCCCTTTTATAAGCTTCCCGATCTTCTTGCAGAGTGTCCAGCCACGTGCGAGTTGCGCCCCGATGGATTTGTTGTACTGGGACGGGATCTTCCGCCTCTGGCTCAGACTCATCACCTATAAGGAATTCATCGTCATCTACGGCTGCTGACGCTGCATCTACGGCCGCGTGATCTGGATCCCCATTAGCTCCATGCTGGGCCTCTTGTACTAAAAGGCCATCCACTGCCGCTACTGGGGGCACTGGTTCAGGATCCGACGGCGCGGCTTCTGCTAACACTGCATCGCCATGATCTGGATTTTGATCACCCTCAACTGGTGAGGCGCTGTCCTGAGGCCTAGGCCATTTTTTTCCAGGATGGGGACTGTAAGCACGCCGACTAACATTTAGCGTGCTTCGCAAAACTCATCTTTTGATAACGCAAAAGGACCTGCAAGGTCCATAGACAACGTCCAGGAATCGGGGTGTAGAACTTTACGGAGAGACCGGACCTGGGCTGCTCCCTGCAAGCAAACTTGGCAGTCTCGACGACATGGAATGTGTCTATGCTGAACATGCCGAATAAAGTCGGCGGATACCGAAGCTAACCTATAGGGCTTTGGTACAGCGCAAGCTTGAGTGACATGATGCTTAATCGTACTGGGCAAAGCCTGTGTAGCCCATTTGGCCCACTGGGCAGAAGTTCCTAAACTGCTACCCTGACTAGGAGCTTCGTATCCTGGGCCCTCCAGGTCCACTAAACTAGCGTCTGGACACATATTAGTACCCAACCCTGTAGGCTTCCGTCTGGCATGTCCTAACGGTCCTTGGTCGAACCGAAACAGATCCAGTCCGTAACGCGCTTGAAATTCCTGCCACTCACGAGTGGCCCAGAAAGAAGGATAGTCGTTGACGAGCCTATTTACGTAAATCGGGTTAGCGCTAACATCTGTAGGGGCAGGCCAAAGATACAACTCCAGGTCGTCACGCTGTTCTATACCAAATGCGGGTTTGGGCAGGTCCAATAACTCACTGGCCTCAAACGTAAGCGCTCCTAAAAGAAGGAAGCGCGTAAACAGAGCATCATCAGTTTTTAGTAAACCTGACTCCGTTGGAGATATTCCTTCTAGCCCATGCCGACCTGCTCCTTCCTGTGAGCGTACTGGTCGAGAGGCATTGGACCTGCTGGGATATGCCTACATACTGTGTAGGTCCTACATGGGGGACCTCCTATTAGTACTCGCAAAGCTGCGCCTAATGCAAGAGTCAACGAGAATCCGTACGTTTCGGATGAACATAAATCCTCTTTTATGTCGACTGGGATATGTTCCGAGATTTAGATCCTGAGCACTGCGTGCAAATGACTCACGAGACTCAACTGCAAAGAGATGAACGAAGGCTCCTCTTTTGGCCCTACGGCTTTTGTGCCCATTCCAGCATGAGGACTTCCTGTCCGTAGGTAGGCAGCTGATTACTGCCTCTTTTAACTGGTCAGGCGCTTGAGGGACAACCTCTTGGCAAACACCCTCATGGCTACACACTTACCCTGCTGCATGATACGG